TGACAACCAGTTTTTGAAAAATATTTCTTTTAAGATTGCGAAATTGTTCTTAAACACACACAGCTTGCAAAAATACTTGCGTCTGATGGCAGAAAATTGAATTTTAACTATTAATGAAACACGCTTTTCTTCATAAAGAGCCACAATAATTTCTAGGTTTGTAGGTTTTTAGTTTTTTTTAGTGGTTTGGTTGAATGATGCAACAAATGCCTTGAAAGCGCACACATTCATAAAAAAGGTTGTCGCAATTTCCCTGATGATGATGGCAAAGATTCGAAACTGCCTAGATTTGCTAAGCCGACTTTTTGTTAGGAAGGAAGTTCAAAAATCGCAGGTTTTTAACTTTCCGTGTTGTAGAGAAGCCCATTTTTAGGAGAATCATTGAAAAGTGTCCTTTCAAGATTGCAGTCTTTTGCATAGAACACTGCTAAAGAATCGTTGATGATTTGAACAAATCGAAACTCTCCGAGCGTTTTAAACAAGTAATTCGTTCTCGAGAGTGTTCAGTTGCAAGTGAGCGACTTTTTTAGTTTTCAAGAGTTTAACTTTTTTAATGAAAAAACGGTCTCTGATGTTGGCAAAAAGCCGAAATGTCTTCTTTAAAGCGCAATAATTTGCAAGTTTGCAGGTTGTTTCAAGTCAAACTGAGGCATAATTTTGTGATGAATGATTTGAAAATGCACTTTTCCATTGCCGCTTTTTTGTAGTCACTTTTGCGCAATCTGAATTCGGCAGAAACAATTTAAGCAGGTGAAGACCGAAAATGCTTTCTCCATTTTTTGACTTGTTCTATTCAATCATTTGTTGCCGTCGCTTTTGTTTTTACATTATCGACTTTCATTCTTATTGGCTACTTTTCTTGGTGCGACTTTTTTCCGTTCTTGTAGCAATTTAATCGACGGTTTGAACGCGCTCGTGACTGATGTTTTCTTGACGTTTCGCAAGCACGAGTGGCTTGCATCTTCAGAAGTGGTTTGCTTGAACGCTTACACTGTTCTCATCAGAACCCGCGTTCAG